CAAACATTGTATTTTTAACATTTAACTTTGTATTTTAATATTTAACTTTTATGTATTGATAAAGACTGTAGTGCAGTCGAAACGTTTCGATTCTGTAACGGAATGTTAATTTAATTACTTTAACTATTAATAAAAATTTTTACACCTTATTTATTGCTCGTTCAGTTGGCCTACTATATATGATTTGTTTAATTTTTATATATATATATATATATATATATATACAGGGTGTCCCATAATTCGCGAACCACCGCGAATGGGCAGATAGAGCGTGTTGAACTGAATAGAAAAGTCCTGTATCATTTTGCGATATTTGCAATAATTATTAAAGTTATTTATTAAAATATCTAAACGAATAAGCAGGTAGAAAGCATTATTTGATCGAGAGGCGGCGTCATGCAGCAAGCGGCGACCAATGTAGTGGCGCCGAAAAGTAAGATAATACTTTTGATACTAAGCGGCATATAACAACCCAGCTAGCAAAATGATACAAACTTTGCACAAAGATTGCGGCAAACTCGAGCAGGCCTTTGTAGCAAAATTGCAACAAGGTGTGTCCGCATTAAGCTGAGCTTTTGCTGGCAAGGTTTGTCACAACAGCGTGACGCAAAATTCACGTAAATAACAGAGCAAGCTTTGCCGTGCGCGTCATGATAGCAAATTTGTGGCAAGAATAGGGCAAGGTTTGATCTGGCACTATAAGACGCAAAATTCACGCAAATAACAAAGCAAACCTTGCCGTGCACGATGTGATAGCAAATTTGTGGCAAGAACAGGGCAAAGTTTGCTCTGACACAATGAGACGCAAAATTCACGCAAATAACAAAGCAAACCTTGCTGTGCATGACTTTAATAGCAAATTATAGCAAGAACAAAGCAAAGGTTGTCGTAACAGTGCGGATTGTAATTAATATAATAATTTAATGAATTAATGAGCTCATTAAAAAGATTTTAATTAATAGTATATTAAATTTTATATAAATAGATAAAAATAATTAAATTTTCTTTATATTTTATTATTATTATTAATATTAATAAAAAAATATATAGAATTTTAATTATTTTTATTTATTTATTTATATAAAATTTAATTAATGCTATTAAAGTCCTTCTAATGAGCTCATTATTTTATTATTAATTACAATCCGCACTGTTAAAACCTTTGCTCTGTTCTTGCTACAAATTTGCTTATATATTTGATTATATCAAATTTAATTAATACTATATATTAATCTCTCTAAATAGAGGGATAATACTTAAGCAATTTTTTTAAAGTTCTATTATCAAAAATGTTTTATATTTATTTCCATATATTTATCTTCAAATTTTTATTTTTAAAAAATCGGATATCTATAATTTATAATCATATATATAAAGACATAAGCGTTTTATATGTATATATAGACCGCTATTTAATTAGTATATATCACTGCTCAATCCTGAAAAACTCGATCAATCGGCGTCACGAAAGGAACTGACCGAAGCTACCTTTTCTTTCGCTATTATAATGATATTACATATATCGTACGACGAGTTTGTCGAACGTAGCAATTGGTTAACGAATAGAGAATTTCTAAAGTTTCTATCTAATATTCAATCGTTACGTCCGACCACCATCATTTTGTAGTATGAATGTAATATCGGCCTTAGACAATTGTGCTTTGCTTCACGCGTATTTAGACGGCGGGAAGATTGACACCATCTATTGCAGAATTATATAATGACCTTAAAGGTGCGTACAGACTTACAACAGAACATCGTAACGTAACACCGTCGCGTAACACCGACGAAATGCATGGACAATACCCCGTAACGCTTAAATGTTGGTGCGAGGTACTGTCCATACATTGCGTCGATGTCACGCAACGGCGTTACGTTACGATGTTCTGTTGCAAGTCTGTACGCACCTTAATATAATCAACATAGTTAATTTAAAATCTTGAGCCTTAGAATTATTCGTAACATGTTTAGATTTTTAATCTCTTTTCAAATATAATAATTATAGACAAATATAAATATATTATCTATATAAATATAAATATACTGTCTGTAGATATATATTTGTCTATAATTATTATATTTGAAAAGAGATTAAAAATTTAAACATGACAAATGACTGTTATAGTATCAAGATTTTAATTAACTATATATGTTAATTATATTAAAGCCATTATAATTCTGCAATAAATAGTATCAATTTTCCCGCCGCCTAAATACGCGTGAAGTAACGCATTATTGTCTAATAGCGAAAAAAAAGATGTTCTGTCAGTTCATCTGCGACATCTGATTGATTGAGTTTTTCAGGCCTTAACGGTGATATATCTAATTATTGAATAACGGAAACGATTTTTATTTCTTGACGATGTTATTGGACGCTGAGCCAAGTTGAACACCATTAATTTCGTCTTGGGAGTTCTCAACTAATAATAACAGCAACACCTGAAATATACAATATATACAATAGTACGAATATATCTAATACTATATTGTCCGTAAAAGAAACTTTATTGTCTGTCCGAAAAGAATCAGCAACGTTAAAGGAAGCAGCATTATCCAACTGTTTGTGCGTAACAGGATCTTGTGAAACATTTGAATGTAAAGTATTTTTAATTTCCAAAGTAATTCGCCTTCGTTGTCTCGCAGACAACCGGTGGAAAGATTTACGCGAAACAGAATATTTAACTGATTTCATACTTGCCTGAAAAATCTTCTAATCCTCTGCGATACCTTGCGGCACTTAGAACTTGGAAGCTCGTCTCAAAAATGTGGGAAGCTTCTAGAATTATAACCTCTGTGATAACCTTGCGGCACGTATGGTAGCACCAGAGAGAAAGATGAGAGCG